TGTAGGGAATGAATAGTGCAGCAGTAAAGCCAGTGAACAGATATATAAAAACTGAAAGAAAATAGAGAAGTAAGAAAATCTAACTGCGTAGTAGGAAACGTAAGAGCTGTTGTAACAAATGATGGTAACGCAATTCCCACAAAGATGTAATGCAGAATGACTCCCCAGATAAACAAGCAAATAAAAGGTCTGTTCCAGGATACAAAACGTAAGATAGGATTTGGTACTAATAAAATTTATTTAGGAAGAGCAGTACGTTTGTCGTGGTGGTGGTGGGGAACAGGCACACTTGGAAGCAAGGATGCAGTGTTGCTATCCAGGTAGTGGCGGTGCGTCGGTGCTAGTCAGATGTAACACCGCGCCTGAACTCCCTGTTGTTCTTTCAGTCCAGGAACGCCTTACCAAACAAATTGCAATAGCCATCACAGAAGCCTTACAGCCCGCTGGAGTTGGAGTGGTTATTGAAGCTACGTAAGTTACTCTGAGCTGTTCCGGGGTAGTGGTGGGGCTGCGTGTGGTTGCCGCTGTGTGCTGCGGAGCTGCTCTGTGCCGCCTCTTTGGCGGCGGTAGCTGTGTGCTGTGCTTGTTTGAGGCAGAGTGCAGGCAGGAGTGATCTTTGCCCGATCAGTAACGGCCTGGTGGCTTGGGGCCATTTAAAGTGGGGGGGCCTACCTTATCTGCTGCTGGGATGTGGCAACTGGCAGTGTGGTCAGCTGTCCCGGTTGCACTGGGTCTGTGCTCTGCCTCAGTGCACCTTCTACTTCTTCAAGTAGAGCAAAGCTTGGGACCAGCAACAGGCATGTCTCTGTGATCAGAATTTGCCTGGGACAGGTGGGATGCTCCTAGGATCAGAGGAGAGAAGGCAGCGCTGCGGGGCTGGGAATTTGACTTTCTTTTCCATAGAGGACAGCTGAGGTACTAATGACAGAGGTCCTCTCTGGATATGGAGGTTGTGTCTGTCACTTCCCCAGAATTTAATGTGACCGTGTAAGAAACATCTCTCTTCGTGGGATCACTTCTTTCTTTTGAGGATGCCTGATTTATCAACTCCCCTCTCATTTCTTCTAGGCATATGTGTATGGTAATGCGTGGGGTACAGAAAATGAACAGTAAAACAGTAACCAGCACAATGTTGGGGGTATTCCGGGAAGATCCAAAGACCCGTGAAGAATTCTTGACACTCATCAGGAGCTGAAACTGTGTTATTCTCTAAACGCGCTCTGGAGATCGTTCTGTCCAGTGTCACTGTCTGTTCATACTTGTTCCTACATCTCACTTTTAAACTAAATCATTGTGAATTGTTGTCCTAGTCTTTGTGCAGTAAAAGACTTCTCATGGCAAATGAAAATGTAACGATGAGGTAGGCTCCTCCTGGATTTCCAATGATGCTGATGTCACAGAGTTACAAGTTACAATTAGAATTTTGGAAATGTTTTTCCATCCAGAATGCAGCGTATACTGCTGTTAGAAGAAAAGTGGGGCTTGGGAGTGAAATGGATATTCCTGAAATAGTTATGTTTATTAGAATAAACATGGAGCATCACAGGAAACAATTGAAAAGCTGTGGATCCTTCTAGGACCACATATGCTGTAAATGCTATACCTTTGCTGAAAAGGATGGTCCTGAATTATCTCTGACTATATTTTATTACAAGTCCTGTAGTGGCTGTTTCAATATCTGGATATGTATGTTATACATCTTTGAGATGTTACCTCTGGTGGTGTTCTATATTCTTGCTAGTGTTAACTCTCCTTTTTTTCTGTGTGTGGTTTTTTGTTTGAGAAATTTAAAACACATTTTTCCTAGCCTCTTAACATGCAGGGAATTAATGTCTAAATTATTTGGGGCATAGTCTTATTTCAGTATAAAGGGTTTTATGCACCTTTTTGTCTGTGCCTGAGAATGTCTGACCACTTGAACTGTTAGTTTCTTACTATTTTTAACCAAACTTTAACAGAGGGGAGAAAAAAAAACCCCGAGTCTGTCTGCAGACTGCTAAGCTATCCAAAGAGGTTTTTAATGATATTTATATCTTGAGCTTTCCTTCTTGTATTTCCATGGGTTAGGCTGAGAAGCTAAATCTAGTCTGATAATCTGAAAATGAAGATTTCTCTTCAAGTATTTCAAGATTTGCATCTCATAAATGTTGGACCAAAGGTGAGCACTGAAATCCTGAACACAGCACATTGTACCTCTCCTGCCTGACGGCAGGTCATTTCAGGGCAAAGTAACCTGAAATGACAACAACTTATTTCATAAGAGCAATGGAGAAAAGCATTTCCAGGGCCATCAAAATGAATTAAACCACATTTTTCTGTGTATGTGGCAACATCTGTATGTGGCAGTATTGGTACAAAGGGTTTCAGTCAACTGGACTTGGCTGAACTTCTTATACTTTGTTACAATTTTAATGGGTGTTTTGTAACTCTTAATTGGGAAAACATGAGGCGCAAATGAAAACCACCCTTCTCCAACTAAGCACAGGAGGCAAAACTTAAAATAAAATGTCAGCCAGGGTGTCAGATGCCCACAATGCAGGTTCCCATGGTCATATTGGCTTTGCCGAATATGAATCCAAGATGTTCCAAAGGCAGTTCCTGGTCTGGCAGGCTCGATCTCAGCAACATTCGTGTCTCTTGGTTCAGCCTGTGTTGGAAACAGAATGAAAATCATGTCCGGTCAAATTTCTGTTGGGCCTAAAGAACTTTCAAGAGCAACCACCTCATGCTTTTAATTACACTAAGTTTACCTTGATGACCTGCACAGCATTATTGGAAACATCTTTTATAATATCCTCTGTCCTGGATTCTGTAGAGTTAGGTGCTATAAAAGTGTGTGTCTGCTAGCATAAACAAGCTGTGTGGTGCACGTTTGTAAAATACACTAGCTCTATGGCATTTGTTTTCCTTAAATGATTGAGAGCAGATATTGCCACTTTCTGGTTCAGTATGTTTCAAATATCCAGCTGAAAAGCCTTAAATCTTTCTTGCCTGAAGTTCAGAGTAAAACTCTATTTTTTTTTCTTTTTAGTTCAACAACCTGAAGGAGAATTTGAGGACCAAGGGGGTACACACTAGTACCTTTTTCTCTTTGCTTTAGTTTGGAGCTTAAGTATCTGTAAAACACTGTCTTGCTCCTGAGGTAACGAAAAGTTGCGTTTTAACCAGTTATCTCTATTCAGGATAAAGTTCGCATTGCGCCACCAACTGTTTTTTATTTCCCTGTGACCTGTAGTCCTTAAAACATACCTCTCTCTACTTGTGGCCTTGGATTTTGTTCACATTTTTGTTGTTGTAAGACTTGGTGCGTTTTTTGGAACATTAGCACTGTTCGACTACACAAGCTTTAACTACACCCGCTGTGTGTGTATGTATAGTACATACAGCCTGCTGTTGTACCACTTAAAAGTCTATTGTCTCTAAAACATTAAAGCACAGTGTTATCCTTTGGAGTGGTAGCATCCTTGGTGACTTGGAGGCAATGGCACACAAGGAAGTGGCCTAAGCCCCATCATCTTGGACGGGGGTTGTTTCTGCACCAGCAGGTGCTCCAAGCCTGCTCTTCTGGGACTGCGCCGACAGTCCTGCGAGCTGCCGAGCTCTGCCGGGAGCCCTCCTCAGGCTGCCTTGGCCCGGGCTTTTCTGCAGCCTGGGGGAGAAAGGGAGAGGAAAAAGATGACATTAAATGCCTATATGAAAATTAGCAATTGCTGCTTTAATCTCTTACCTACTTCTCTGGGTCAAAACACAAGATAAATCAGGCCAGGGTGGGGAAGAGGCAACCAGGGAAGTTTTTGGGCTGTGGGCAAGGGATGGGGAATCTGCTGGCACAGCGTGGCTTTGTGGGCGAATGCTGTGGCAGTCAGAAATGGAGGAGGAGCAATGAATGAAAGCCCTTTCCAGCCCTTTGTGGTTGTGTGTGTGTGTTTTTTTCCAAATGGTCTGTCCTGTTGGGAAATAACCCTCCTGGGGAGCCCTAGGAGGATTGTCAAGAATTGTTTTTGTCGTGAAGCTGAATTACTTCTGTCTTTCTCACGATTGTATATTAAAGCTGGTGGCTGTAGTGGGAAACAGCCTGTTTGTCAAAACAGGCACTTCTGCAATTTTCTCTTCCCTGCCTCTTTAGTTTGGGTTTGGTTTTTTTTTTTTAGGTGTGGGATTGGGAAGGAGCCTTCTTGGTTTTGTGATCATGGGAAAATCTGTTTTCACTGGGGCAAAAAAATATTCAGCTGATCAGTGTTTCCAGCTCAAAAATAAAGCAGAAGGGAGTGATAAGAGCCAAATCTGTAAAAGAACTGAAAGCTGTTATTAAGATAACAACCCCCTTCCCTGACCTACCACGTCTCCCACGCTCCCACCTGCGTTAGCATGTGCTCTGTTCGGCTCCTGATACCCTCCGGTGGTACCTGTTGCATCTCAGTCTTTTTTCTCAAGAGTCTCCCATATAAGCAGCTTCTTCGTGTTTTTTCTATCGCTGTGGTTTAATTTCGGGTGTCTCCCACCATCCCCTGCATCCCTGGTGACCGGTCAGCGAGTCCCCGGGCCGTGCCTCGCCGGGTCCTCGGCGCAGGCTCTTTGGCCCCCAGCCCTTGCGTTCTGCCTCCAGGTGCAGGTTTATACTTGGGTTCAGGCAGCTTTTCACAGCCCCGGGAGGCGACGGGTCCGGCTTGTCTCACGGCGTGAAGACGTGGCCACGGCTCCCTGCTGCGGTGAGTTCCTGCAGAGGCCTGGCTGGTGGGTCCCTGGCGCTGCCAGCACGTCCCAGCTGTCCTGATGTGGGACCTTGCTGGAGATGGGGATGCCTCTCCTGGAAACTCCTGCCTAGCTGCGCTGCCTGTGACTGGGCGTCATGCTGCCTTTGTTGTCCCAACGGTAGATTTTTATGTTCCTTATAAAGTGCAAGTCCCAAAACTTCTTCCTCAAAGCACCCTCTTGTGTACAGCCCGCTGCTGGCCATCGGGGACGTGGTGAATAATGGGTGCTGCTGCCCGCAGACCTGCGAGCTGCCAGCCCAGCCCAACCAGTCCCCGGGGAGCTCATGCAAACGTGGCCAGCCCTGTGGTTACGTCTTTGGGAGGGAGGTACGAGGAACCCGGGCAGCACCAGCTAGCTGGCAAGCCCCTGACAGATGGCCAGCCTGCGGCTCCACGTGCTCAGCAGCGGGGAGCTGCGAGCTGGAGTAGCACTGCTGTGTCCATCGGTGCGGTTCGGGTTCCTGAGCGGGTGGCTGTTGTCCATGCCTCAGCCAGGCTGAGTACCCGTCGGCACTTGCGGGGGAAGCATCAGAAGAGCTCTGTCTCCTTGGACATTTGATCCAGCAGGTCCCAAAACAGGCTCTTTCTGGCCAAAAATCTGCCTTCGGAGTGACTGAGTGGCTGCGGTGCGGG